CGTCACAAGCCTAGATTGTAGGTAGGTGTAATTGTTAATTCCATTTTGCAGATGAGACAATTGAGGAGCTAACAGGGTCACCAAATTGAAAAGATCACACCACAAGTAAGTGGCAGAGCCAGGTTCCATGGTTCCATATGCAGGGAGTCTGGCTCCAGAGCCCCTAATTTTAATCAGTGGCTCTGCTATTCCCTTCACACTGGCACTCCTCTGTAGTATAGGATTTGCTTCTTAGCCTACCAAAGTGTCAATGTGCTATGTTCCTATGATTCTTTTCTTTGTATATGTGAGGCACATAAGTTAATGTGTTATATTAGAAGTCTAATTCACTAGGGCCCATATAAAAGCTTTATTTCTATTTTTATCATGTACATAGTAGGGGTCATGAATTACCTATAAGAAATGTCAAAAGTAGGAAGATATTAGTTTCTATCACCGAGAGAAATCATGAGATAAAAACATGATATACATTAGTTGTCAGTGATATTGTAATGTAAGTATAACCTTAAAATCACAGTCTTTTTAGTCATCTATTTATTCAGAATTAAAGGGATTTTATAAGGTAAGATTCTAGATTATATTCTCTCTCTTTAACATCCATCCCAAGGATTCTCCCATTAGGTTTAGGTTGCTCCAGTAACTGCTAGTTTGCTGGACATGCCAGCCCATTGTCGATCCCAAGGTGGCTCATGCATGCCATTTTTTAGATTTTAATAATCACTTTATTGAGATATGATTTACATATTCTTTAGAAGTATATAATTCAGTGGGTTGTAGTTTATTTAGTTACCTAACCATGTGGACTATCTAATTTCAGGACATTTTCATCCCTCCAAAAGAAACCCATTAGCTGTATCTTCCCATCCTTCACCCTTCTTCTACCCTGACTAATCTGCTTTCTGTCTCTACAGATTTGCCTATTCTGGACATTTCATTTAAGTGGAATCATATTAAGTGGAATCATGGCCTTTTGTGACTGACTTCTTCCACTTAGCATCACGTTTTTAAGGTCCTTCCATGTTTTGGCAGGTGTCATTACTTCATTTTTTTTCAAGGTTGAGTAATATTCCGTGGTATGGGAATACCACACTGCCTTTAGACAACCATCACTGATGGGCATTTGGAAAGGACTGGTGTTAATTCTTTAAACATTTGGTAGAATTTACCTATGAAGCCATGTTCATGCATTCTGTAGACCACTGATGGTTGGTGAGTGGGTCTGTAACATCTGTCATCACCTAGGATATTGTTAGGGATACAAATTCTTCACCATCAATCCCCCCACACCAGATCTGTTGAATGAGAATCTCAGGGAGTAGGTCAGGCTATGTTTTAACATCTCTACAAGAGTTTATCATGCGTACTAAAGTCTGAAAAGCACTATTTTAGACAACTTTGAATATTCTATCAAACTCAAGAAGTTTTGGTAGCTTCTCCCTTCTTGATCCTTTTAGGTCAAGTCTCTTTTTCATTTGTTCAGCTTTCTAGTGCTTGAAAACAACTATACTAATACACCTGGACACTGTCCTCTCGATCAACATCATCCATTTCTTTGGAAAAAGCATAGGGAGAGGTTGTATGCTATAGAGCAGTGCGGGAATCTTTGTCTCTATTGTTCGATGATGCACCTCAAACTCCTAGAATATTCCTTGGCACATAGTATGTGCTCAATAAATATTTATTTGAATGCGAGAACAAATATCATTGGCAAATTAGATTATTATGATTCACTGTATTAGTTAACACTTCTGGTCGAAAATAGCAGACACCCATTAAATGAGCTAAAACAAAAACATGATATTTATCATATGGATACACATGTATCTAATGGAACCAAGGGATTTTATTCAGAGAATGAAGCACTGAGTATAAATGGCCAAAGGTTTTCTCTCTGTCTCTCATTTCTTACTTTTTCCTGCATTTGTGAGTCTTTCTTCTCTCTGGTTCCCACAGAACTACCAGTTTACACATGTTCAGAGCATAAAATCTCCTCAATAATACCAAGAGTGGCCAATATTATGACTCATTATTGAAGAGTTAACTCAGACTAACTAGACTAACCTGGTATCAGTTCTGAATTCCCAAAGGTAAAGATTTTAGTATGTGCCTCTAGATCACCACCCTCCCCCCAAATCATTGTATTCAGTGAAGGGTTTGGGGTCTCAATGTTTGAATGTGGCTGCCCCACCCATTGAAACCGTGTGAATAGGGACTGCGGCTTTGAATTAGAAGGTGTTGAATAAAAAAGAAGGAGGCATTGAACAGACAATATGATAGATGTCTCATATCTTTGTCCATTGGTCGATAACTTAATTAATCTAACATTTCTGAGAAACCTCTTGTGTTCAGTGGTCTGTGCTATATGTTTCAGGAAATATCATTTAACCTTTGCTCTAAGGAGAGACAGAATTTAGATAAAAGGTCAAGACCTGAGCACAAGAAACCTTAATCTACAATCCAAGTAGTACATGTTACGTGTCACTAAGTGGAATGAACAATCAGTGTTACATGACCTGTATCATCAACACTAAAAGCAATAGCCACAAAGCGTTCATTCTTACATCCTCCTAAGGATGTCACGGGTAAAGACCTCATTTGCTCTATCATAACATGCTCATTCCCTTTAGTAGAAACCTTGGCACACCTTTTATTTGAGTCTTTGTATCAGGAACCCTTATGCAGTTTCTAGGGGATGAACATTTGCTTTTATGAAAATTGTGATTCTTAATTCAGTTGAACAACCAAGTTTTTAAAACGCCTTTGGTAACTCTGCAGGACCTCCTGGTTTCTAGTATACAAACTAATTCTATTCCTGATTTGATTTTATTTTCCTATGCAGGTTTGTTACTTTACTGAAATTCCACACATACTTGAATTTTCAAACTGTACTACAGGTGTATATTTTTCCATATATTATATGATGTATTTCCATAAGTTTCCTCAAGTCCTTTCCTTAAAACAAGATGTATTCGACCAGAAAAAAACTAAACTCCCTTGAACAGTTCTTAGAGGGAGAATTGACTGTAGGAATTCACAGCCAGAGGAAGACTTATAACCATATTTTGCCTTGGTTCCCTCTGGATTTTTATCATCTGTATTTGGGCAATGTGGAGAAGGACAAATTAGTTGGGATTAAGTTACTAGGAAACTCTTAATATAATTCCATTTTTTCCCCCCAACTTAAACATCCCTTATGGTATTCACTGTAAACGCTATTTAATAATCTGGTTAGTTACCCAAATATCTAAGTTTTTTTTTTTTTAAGATTTTATTTATTTGGGACAGAAAGAAAGAGAGCTCGCATAAACAGTGGGAGGAGAGGGCAGAGGGAGAAGCAGACTCCCCTCAGAACAGGGAGCCAGATGCAGGGTTCAGTCCTAGGACCCTGAGATCATGACCTGAGCTGAAGACAGAAGTTTGACTGACTGAGCCACCCAGGTGCCCCCCAAATATCTAAGTTCTTCTGGTGGCCTAGACATGACAGTAGTTTTTTAGGACAACCATTCAGCAAAAATGTTTAAAGATTCACTAGGAAATAGAATTTGAAAACTGTGAGGAATTCTTTTTTGTTTTGGTTTTTTCTAGAGAGTTCATTCAGGTTTTCAGAGCATCGGTGTCTGGTTAGCTCAGTTGAATTAAAGCATGGAGCCAATGACACCAAGGTCATGGACTTAATCCTCTACTGGACTCCTTAACTTCCTTTCTGTGCCTTGGCTGGAGACTATGCTCCTAGACCCTGCCTCAAACACAGGGCCCATGCAGTCTATGGGAACCCTTGGGGGTAATTCTGCAGGGGTGAGGACTTCATAGCATCTCTGTGCCAAAGTCCTCCAAAAGGACCCCTTTCAAGAGCACAAAATGCTGAAGTTATCATTTGTTTACCTTCTATGGGCCGGTTAATTTCTCTCTCTCTCTCCCTCCCAGACTGTCTCTCTCTCTCTCTGTCTATCCCATTCCACTATAGAGGAATAACTCAAAGCACAGACTGTCTTTGTGATGGGTCCGTTAAACCACTTGCCTTCTTTGCATTCAGGCAGGACAGTGCCTTCATTGAAGTGAGATGCCCAGAACGTGGCTGGTTCTTTAGCTGGATACATGTACTCTGGGATCATCAATCAATTCTCATTTGATTCCGCAAAGCCCCTTTACTGAAAAACATCCAGGCCTCTCCAACCAATATGACTCATGGGATACTTGTGATTAATACCAATCAGGTTAATGGCTTAGCTATGGTTAATGGTGCCGGCTCTGTAGCTGCAACAACGAGAATTAATAACAAATCCCACACTCGTTTTTGCAAATCAGAGGAAAGATGCTAAGGGCTTGACAAGCTCTAATCTTTATGATTTAATGGAATCGTGTTAGAGCACAGAGACTGTGGAGATCGGGAAACTGCAAAAAATTCTCTGTCACATCCCTGGCTTTAAAGATCTGAGCTCTTTCTAATACTCTGTCAACAGCTCACTGTCACTGGGGCTTTGCAGGACAGGACAGCCCTGGTGACAAACCGTCTAGAAAACAACATACAAGAGCAAGGGGTTCATTAGTGCAGATAACACACATGAGGCTTAATCTCTACAGAGGGGGACAAAAAAATGTAACAGACATCTTATCACAATGAGTTGGAAAGTATGTCTTAAAGGCACGAGGGATGATTCATTTTGTCTCTGCTGGTGACCTTTAGTGATTCAATGTCACAGACAAGGAGTTGAAATATTCAGCTATGGCCAGTCCCTGGGATCAGGCACTGGGACTATCTGTAGCCAAATGCCAATGTATCAAGCCACCAAATGTCAAGTTTTAGCACAGGTTGAAGGGGGCTTCCAGAATCCCTGAACTGTTCAGCATTAGGGCTAGTCATTTGCTGCAGGGAAGGTTAAGATTGGGGTGATAAGACTTGAGGGACATGGAGGAAGTCCTTAAGTGGGTAAGGAGCCAATTCTATGCAAGAGTGTGGCATATGGGGTGGGGACATTAGCATGGTCTGAGAAGTCGGGGAGGGAAGCAGTGAAACAAGGCTTTATTTTAGCTGCTGCCACAACAGACGTGGGGGAAACCTGATGTCCAGATGCATGGGTAACACTGTGGCCTTGGTTTTGAGAAAAATCCCAGCTCTCGGATGGCAGGAAATCAAAACCAAAGCCTAAACCAAACCAAACCAAACAAACAAACAAAAAAAACAAAGCTCAGTCTACCAGGCGAGAAGATTAACAAGAACTGAGGGGGATGTGTGATGGTTGGCCGAACAGTTTGGGATTCTTAAAGTAAACGAGAGTCTGGAATTTGTGCAGAAGAAGTCAATGTGGCTGGAGTTGGGGGAACCCCGGCATCGAGGGCTGTTTCCAAGGAGATACCAAATACCCTGGATGTAGGATCCAGGGAATAAGACTCGTCGTAGACCTGACCTGGGGATGGGGAAGAGGTTCTCAAAGTCTCTGCCTTACTTAACTGTAGATGGTCGGAATCCGCGAGGACAGAAACCAAGGGGGGGTGGTTCTGGACACAGAACTGAAGAAGGCACCACTGGGTGGCATTTACAAAAGCCGCCTTGCGTGCGCTCTGGGGTTTCTTTGCCTCCGTGGAGACGTCTGGTCCTGCAATGTAGAGAACAACCTTATTGTAGTAGGTGCCACCCGATAATCAGTGACACTGCAAGCAGGAAGAACGTACTCGATCCTTCTCCTGGTTGTCTTCACAATCTTACTTTAATTCTGAACTCTTTTTTTCTTGGGCTCTGGAAATGTTAGGCTCAGAGATAAATGGCCGTTGATGGGCCTTGGAGACCATAAAAAAAAGGGAGAGAGATTTTGAAGAATTGGCTCTGTACTAAGAATCCTCTTACAAAGGAGGCAGATGGTGATGGATCAGCAGCTGGTTTATGGATTGTTTTTCCCACTGCTTCAGCAGGACTTTTCCCTCAGCCTACTTCTCCAGCGACAACAGGCGGATACCCTCTAGGAGGACATCCTTAACTCTGAGGCGGCTACAGCGTGTCTGAAGGAAGCCTAGCCCGCGTCCTTGAGTGGGGCTTCCATATGGAGGTCTGTGGGGTGCATTCTCCATTTGGCTGGCTTTGGAAACATCCAATACGTCCCCACCCTTCCCCTACCTTCCACACTCCGGTTAGGTGAGGGCAAGAGCTTCTGGGCCTCGGCTAGCACCAGGAGCCAGAGCCCATGAATTAAAACCATCTTCTATTAACCTCTCCCAGCCCTCAGGAACCCACGTCTCTAGTAACCACAGATTCCTGTTCACGTAACAAGGATAGATTATTGATACAGCAGCTGCCAGCTTCATTCAGCTATTTACGTTTAAATCAATGTAAATAACATGAAATTAGGCAGTGTTCTCCTACACCAGCCACCCCTCAAATGCTCCAGAGCCCCAGGGGCAGGGAGCTGCCATCTTGGACAGAAGCAGAAGAGCGCCGTTCCCTTACATGGCATGCACTACTGGACAGAGAGGGATGAGACCGAGTGCCCTCTGTCTTTGCATCTAGCACCTAGTGGCAGTTTGGTGGCTGCCTAGGGACATGCTTGATCAACTACAACAGATACGGAGCTCAGTTTTTTTCTGTCTGCTTCTCTCACCCCCTTAGGTTCTTTGTGATTAGGCTTCCTTCCCAGCTTCTCTTTGCTTCGAAGTCCTTCCAGACACACTCAAAGTAGGCCTGTTTGTGCATTCTCTCTCCCATCCTCCCTCAGTCTGTCTCTTTCTTTCAAGGCTTGTTGGGCCTGGGGCACAGTGTCTTTGTACTGAGTTTGAGCTCTCAGACAGCATTAGGTCCTGTGATTTCTGCCCTGTGTTCAGTGAGAACAAAATCAAAGGGGCTGAGGTGATGGGATAACTGGGGGGCACTGGCTTTGGGTGTCTATTCTGTCATCCAGAGGGGAAAGGGAAGGAAATAGGAAGACACAGGATAACTGTGCCAATGGGTCCCCTCCACCAACAAACATAGGAGAGAGCGGCGAAAGAAGCCCACATTCATTAAACCCCTCACAGTGATCTAAGTATCTCACAGCAAACCCAGTAGGGAGGTTTTATTTTCCACATGTAGAGAAAATTTTTGAGAAATTTAGGTTTCAGAAAGGTTAAATGATTTGTTCGAGGCCTCACAGCTCATAGAAAGCAGAGCTGATATCTTTTTTTTATTATTAATTATTTTTATTAACATATAATGTATTATTTGCCCCAGGGGTACAGGTCTGTGAATCGTCAGGCTTACACATTTCACAGCACTCACCACAGCACATACCCTCCCCACAGAACTGATATACTGAATTCTTTTCAAGCCCATCAGCTCTTTCTATTACTTGGAAACATCGAGGAGTTGGTGGGGGGTGGGTGTGTGGAGATTTAGGCTGCATGTACAGCGAATGGTCCTTGACCAGGACCCATCTTCAATCTAGCAGTCTGTAACTGTGCCATGGGAGGAAGAAGCTGGGTGCTGGCACAGGCTGGTGGGGACTTTGCAGGCCTAGGCTCTGTTAGCCCAGGCAATGCTCTGGCAGGAAAAACAGAGAGGAGATGATCCTTTACCTGTTGTGTAATACAGTTTTTGCTTTTGTAAAAGGCTTGTGGTATGACTTTGCTGTCATACCATATAGCTATACTTCGGGCTAAAGCAGGACTAGGTGCTAGGTGGCCACCTGGTACAGAATTCATTCTCACATTGGATCCTACATTCTTTCTTTTTGGTTCATCTGTACGTTAGGACATGGACATGGATAGTGCCATGCCAAGTTCTTCGATGGAATTAATTTTCTGAGTTTCTGGCGGTGGGATTTCTCCACAGTGTGAAAATCAAGATTTCCTCCTATCACAGATATTTCTGGTCTCATATTTGTAAGTGGTTTAGTAATTTTAAAAATTTTTCACATGCATTTCATATGATTCTCACTAATATCCTGTGAGTTATAATAATCATTCTTTTCCCAGCTGGCCAAAACAAGTGTAGCTAAGGGAACAATGCAAAAATCATGAATTAAATAAGCTCAGGCTTCTGATTTCTGAATCTTTGTCATTTTTGCCCATGAACAATAGAAAATTAAAAAAAAAAAAAAACTCAAAATCCAGACACTTCTGTGTCTGTCACCATCATCCTGTTTCTTTCCTGCGTCTTGTTCTTGGCTGGGAAATCTCTAGCTTCCAAGTTGTGGAAGTTATTGAGCAAAGACCGAAGGACTTGGGGTAATAAACATACTTCAGAGTCACCAATGTCAAGAAATCCAGAAGGTCTAGAACATGGAAGCCAGTCTCCTGCCTGCAGGCAGAAAGGGTCTGGAAGCAGTCCTTCACTAACCAGTTAGATAACCAAAACAATTAATCAACTCACTAATTCATCTATGAGAGGCAAACTAGTGGCCTGATTCCCTGCCTCATCCTCACCACCCCCACCAAATTTGAAGGTCATTGTTGTATCAGGTTTAAATTCCTCAGATTAAGAAAATTAATTATTAAAATTAAAGGTGCAACATCGTCTGGTAAGTCATTAAAACAACAAACAAACAAACAAACAAAAATCCCCCAAAGTTTTACAAGCAACTGTCTAGTAAAAGCCAAGTTCTCTTCCACAGCTGGGTAAGCTAAGGCCCATTTGGGGTATGGAACTTTGACTTCCTATCTCTGTTCATTAACTCACCAAGCCAAGAGATGAAAATTAGGTGCAAACCAGAGTTATTAAAAACTATTAATATTAATTGATATTTTAAGGAGTCAATTATCCAGCAAATATTTAATGGATTCCTGTTATGTGCCTTATACCCTCTGGATGGTTACGTTACAGACCGATTCACAAAAATAAAGCCATGCAGCATAATCTAAGCCAAGCAATAAAGATTTTCTTCTTCCTTGGACTGTCCAGGTAATTGCTTCAATACTCCACTCCATGGCACCTTGCTGCTAAAGTTTTAATTGTCTTCCAAGACCACAGGCAAAAGGAAATGCAAACCAAAGCTATACTCTCCCTAGATGTCCCCCCAGAGGGAAACCCCTACAAACTGGAAAGGAATGAAGAATCATCTCACATCAAGAAATTTGCCTTCAGAGGAGTAGGGCTGGTGAGAAGCCTTTTACAACATTTTCCAGGACAGCATTAGATCCATTAATTACCTAATTCTCTGTGCCTTATTAGCTCCCTTAGAACCCTTTAGATGCCTCTAATTCCCTTATCCTAAAGGCTTCAGAATTGGGGCTACTAGTCCTTTGGTCCCAATTAGGTCCACATGTGGCATATTGTGCTGCAAATCTCTGCAGCATATTTACACTAATTATGAACATTAATTATAGGGGAGCCCTGGGAGCTTAATGCCCATTCCAAAGTCATGCATGGAGCTAAGCAGAGTTTACAATCTTGGAAGCACAGCAAAAGCAAGCCCAGATTATATAGAGTCAAGGAGGAGAAAGAGAAACAGACATGAAAACAGTCAGAGAGGCAAGAATTTCTAAGAAAGAGGGTGTCCTGAACACAAGAAAAATGGGCAGATGCCCCCTTAGTTTGCGTAAATGGGGCACAGGGTCAGAACTAAACATCCAGCCCAAACCTCTTGAAATCCTTCTTCCTAAAGGTTTGAATTGATCTCAGGAGACCAGCAGGAGCTGAGTCTACAGGTAGGGGTTAACTAACCATAGCTGCAGGGAGAACAGAGTTCAAAGCTGACACCAAGAGAGAGCTGTACTAGGAAATAATTAAACTATAAAGATGTTTTAAAGTAACATTTATTCGTTCAATCATTCCTTCACTCACAGAACCCATACAGTGTGCTAAGTTCTATATACTAGGTAACAGTAGCTATCATTTAGCGCAAACTTGTCACATGTCAGATACTATTCTAAGCACCTTATAGGCATTTATACTTTTTTTTTTTTTTAAGATTTTACTTATTTTGGGCGCCTGGGTGGCTCAGTGGGTTAAGCCTCTGCCTTCGGCTCGGGTCATGATCTCAGGGTCCTGGGATCGAGGCCCGCATCGGGCTCTCTGCTCAGCGGGGAGCCTGCTTTCTCCTCTCTCTCTATGCCTGCCTCTCTGCCTACTTGTGATCTCTCTCTCTCTGTTTCAAATAAATAAATAAAATCTTAAAAAAAAAAAGAAAGATTTTACTTATTTATTTGACAGAGAGAGATCACAATTAGGCAGAAAGGCAGGCAGAGATAGAGAGAGAAGAGGAAGCAGGCTCCTTGCTCCTGACCTGAGCCAAAGGCAGAGGCTTTAACCCACCGAGCCACCCAGGCTCCCCAAGGCATTCATACTCTGTCACAACAGTTAAATAAGACTAGTATGCCCATTTTATGTATGAGGAAACTGAGGCATAGAAAATTTCAGATTCAATTTCTCAAAAACACAGCTGGAAAGTGTCTGATTCAGGGTCCAAATCTAGTCGGCCTCCCAAGCACACACTAACGAACACTGAATGAACACTGCTCTTCTGCCTGAACTGGGTATGAAAAAGTAAATGGAGCACGAGTCCAGCCATAAAGGAATTCCGAGCCTAGGAGATTTAGACATATAAATACTTACACAAGGTGGGCATTCTCCAGAGGCTTAAATGATACCGGATCCTAGTCCTTCTTGTCTGAACAAGGGCATCCCTCCTTC